TAAAAACATTAAATGAGCATTACATTTACCACTTGGGAGAAAATCCTCTGCCCTGCTCTTCCTGAAGCTCTCCGCACCCACGTGGAAAGCATCTCGCTGACCTCTAATCTGTGATTTTCGAGTTATCGCGAGAATACGGAAAGGGGGCGCTTTCAAATGCCGAGCCAGGAGCAGACATACGGATTGTGCTTGCCACTAAAATAAACAAAATAAGCCAGATGTTTAAAGAACATAGGCCTTTATCGGAGGTATTTTCTGCAAAAAATAAAATGAAAATGATACAATGAAAATATTCACTTTGCCATTCAGTTTTCAAAGTCTATGCGCAGAAATCCTGCCAAAATGAAAATTAAAATGAAACAGTACTATTTGCATTTTAATTTTCTACTTTTGTATGAGTCAAATGTGAAATATTAAAAAACAAAATTAACCATTTAAACAATTTTGTCCTTTCATTTTCCAGTTTGACTTTTCATTTCCATCCAACCATCCATCATCCATCATTTATCCGAGGTCGGTTCACGGGGGCAGCAGTCTAATCAGGGAAACCCAGACTTCCCTCTCCCCGGCCACTTCATCCAGCTCTTTCAGGGGAATCCCAAGGCGTTCCCAGGCCAGTCGAGAGACATTGTCCCTCCAGTGTGTCCGGGGTCTTCCCTGGAGCCTCCTCCCAGTGGGACATGCCCGGAACACCTCACCAGGGAGGTGTCCAGGAGGCATCCTAAGCAGATGCCCGAGCCTCCTACTTTGCTTATTCAAGTTCACAAATATATGTTAATTGAAACGTGCAGTGGGCGGAGCTATGGATCACTGCTGTGCTTTCTCAGTGCGTTTGTCGATTCTGGTGTCCTATTGCTCCTTGCGCATGGTCACCCATGTCATCCAAACTAATGGCAAAGTCGCACGCGGCTTAAGTTAGCTACTCATTAGCAGTATGCATTTTTATTCACTTGTTAACGACTTTACAACAGATTCATCACTGGGCATGGTATGACACCACTCATCATCAGTCCATGCCTCCCAGTTACGGCACCAGTCAAAATGCAGCCATCTCTGCATTGGTGTTAATAGCAGCCTACGCATGGGACAGTGAACCCATAGTCCTGCTGATGCCAGTCATTGAGGAACTGTGTGGGATGACATGGGGTGTTGTAGAGAGCCCCATACCTGTGTCCGGATGGCAGGCGCAGATGTTATGGGGTTCTGTAATTCTTGTCGCACAATACGACAATCCTTCCTTGATGTGGTCTGTCTTGGGCAACCACCTGGCCTCATGCAAACCCACAATCTGCTTTGCGACCCCCCTGCAGTGCCCCTCCCAAGGTTTTTCGCCATCAAAATAGTGAAATGTATTTGGACACACCCATAAATGTTAGTTACTTTTAGCGCTTTAGCTTTGTGTTGCACTTCTTGATAGAGAAGCCAGAAGAGATGTTGAGACTTGTTAAAGCCAATGGAAAGGTGCAAAAAGAACTCAACGGTGCAAAAGGTTTCTCTGAACACACAACTTATCTACCTGCAAAACAGTCTTGGAGGCAAAAGAGGCTCCTACCTCGTATTAGCTAGTTGTACTAAATAAAGGGCTCACAGTGCACATGTGTATATACATATATGGAAAAACTAGTTCCTAGTGTAATATCAGAGAATATTTCATTCTTAATGTTTAACTGTACTTGCATTACAAAGACAAAAAAGTATTCTCTCTACAAATATGTATATGCAAATATATTGACATGCCAACTGCATCTTTTAAGGTTCACTGTTGTAAAGTGGTTAACAAGTGAATTAAAATACATGAACAATATTTTAAGACTCGCTGCTGTTCATGTGCCTCACACACAAATAACAGAATAAATACATTTGCTAGAGTAAGAACATAAATGCTTATAATAACAAATACTATTATTTTAGGGGAACACAACAGTACACTTCAAACAACCCTTTATTTCTGTGGCATGTTCAAACCAGAATTACATCACAGTTATTGTTTTTTTTTGTTTTTAATTGTTTTAGACTGTCAGGAATATGCTACAATCCAGCAAAAGCAAAAGTATAGCTTGCAGAACATCTAGGAAAGTGTCTTGGGGTTGAGGATAATCTGCCTAAAGCAATCTAAATACTTAATAAACCAATAAATACTAAATATACAGACCTTATTTACAAGCTGTACTGAAGGATTATGATAAAAATATACATTGAACAAACAACCACAAAATAAAATGATTTATATTTATAAGCGATCAATAGCAAATTGTTCAAGTATAGTGAAATTATTTAGACACTGGTTTTGGTGATGTGTAAACCATTCGCAGAGAAAGGTATGCATGTGGGTGTCCAATGTTTACATTCATTTACACAAATCCCAGGTGGGGTGGTGAGGGTGAAACCACCCCCAGACATCCAAAAGTCAGACAGTGGTTTTGTCCATTGGCAGCCCCAGTGAATGCGACCAAAGAACAGTGGCCAGGTTTAATGGCTCTCGCTGGAGATCCTTAGGCACGCCTGCTTCTCTCTCTTCTGCAAAACGTCACTAAAAAAAGTGCCGGTCCTCCTTGCGTTATTTTTGGGATCCAACCCTTTGTTGTTTCCTGATGCTGTTCAGACGCTGTTGCACCACACATCCAACTGTCATGCAAAGGCCTGAGCTACACCAGCTCAAAGTTAAGCTCCAAGTTTATAATTACAATAAAAAATGCACAGTCAATTTTATTTGAATCACTCATCATACAAAAATTCTTAGTTTTACACAACCACCCACCCCCTGCTGAATTCTCCAGTGGAGGGGGAGAAGAAAGACAAACACACTCAAAGTAAAAATACATTTTATAAAACCTAGCTTTTTAACAGTGTACAAATTAACTCTGAGGACTTTCAAAAGGTGCTCCAGCTAGTTTTTTCCCTCTTTTCTCATAGCTTATAAACTTCCTCCCACACAAACAGACAAACAGATCAATGCAAACCACTACTGAGAAAAAACAGCATCCAACCAAAGCACAAATACACCTTCCAAAAAAAAACAAAACAATAAAAAGCTAAAATTGATATTTCTTGAACTACACATAAAAGGAGAATGGCACATGGGACATCCCTGTGTCTTAGCATACTGGTTACTTGAAGTCATCCATATACAGTACTTGGTTCATTCATCCATTACCTAGTTGTTTTGCAGTGTCTGAAACAAGGTGCACATGCTGTTATTAAATCAGAGCCTCAGGTCCAGGTATTTCGTGGGTTAGCTGATACAGTCCAGATCAGGCCCAGCCTCACACTCTGTCCACATGGCTTGAGGTGATTTAAGAGTCCGCTTTTTTTTTTTATCATCATTTTTCTTTTTTTTTTTCCTGTTTTTTTTTGTAGTGTCAACATGGTTACGATTCCAGGACAGGGCATCTCATGAACATGGAGGACAAGTGTTTGTAGCTCCCACTGCTACCTCCAGCGGACGCTTCCTGAGTTAGCACGAGTCAGAGTAGGACGATATCATCCCTTGTCCAAATTAACCAACCCCATAACCCACCCCCCCCCCGCTTCAGCCACACCTCGCTAGTACTGTCAACTGCTCCTTGATTTCAGGCTCCAAACATTTTCCTCCAATAAATACATTTTTTGGGAAAATAAAATATTAAATTTCACGATTGTAGGCTGCATGGGATTGTCCACAGGCCACGATCCCCAGCCTCGTTTGCCTCTTGACCATGTATCCAGTCTGCTGAACATCCAAGCAAACCAGTATAGGTTTCCTCGTAGTCTCACCTTACGAAACAGTAAAAATGAAACGTCTCCACACATTTAGCACGGCCGGTGGCCATATCACTTTAGAAGAGTAGAAAAATGTTTTTAAATGTGCCAAAGAAAGAGGATTAAATATAGTCTGAACTTAAGTACTCTATACACGTGCATGCACACACACTGGTCCACATACACACAGACACCATTTTAGGTTTTACATACAGAATTAAAGTGCTCCTCTGTTCCATTTTCCTACATTTGGAGGAAGAAAAAAAACAAAAAAAGACACTAACTAAAAGGCCTCTAGTTCTCAGCTTTCACGAGATGTGTGTGTGGGGGGGGATTGCCTCAGATTGCTCTGCTACATTTCTATAAAGGTACATACATTAAAGCCAGGGAACACTACAAAATGCATTACACGCATCATTGTTAACAGCTGAGTCCAAGACTAGGTTCGAACAGTGCAAAGGGATTCCTAACGTGTCATGGGTCATGGCAAACAAAAGGCATCTTATGGAAACGATACTCAACCCCAACGATGACAAGCTGGAGGGACCCCTGCTTCATCTAGCAAACAAAGTGAACTGGCAAAGTGACTTGTGACGTTGTGAACGAGCGACTGGTTTAATTCTGGTGTGTTGTATCGTGTCGTGCTTCTTGGTTAAAGAGTAGGTCAGCTGCTACAACAGTGAGAAGAGCGAGTAGGCACCAACACACACCTTGCTCCCCCCGATCTGATAGCTGCAGCTGTCTTTCCAGCATCATGACAGTGCCGCTGTAATACTTTGGTCTAAAAACACCCCCCCCCCACCAACCCCAGTCCTTCCAATACAGGCTCTACTAACGATCGATGCTGGACGTTAACTAAGTGAAATCTGACTTACGTGATTGTAGTGCAAAGAGAGGTGCCCTCTCTTACTTTAAAGGCTTCAATTCACTGAAACTGTAAAAAGTAAGAAAGAAAGAACAATCCCACAAAAAGTCACTGAAAGCCATCTAGTTTGATTCAGTAGAGAGAGGTCAATCATCTCTGCAAAGGCGACCGGCTGTCACGCAAAGATGCCAGCCATCCACCTCCCTTGAGTCACACTCAGGGCAGATGCGTCTTCCTCTGGAGTTCATCACACACCTCTCCTGAAACCAGTGATGCTGAGTGAGTGTATGGATCAATGGCAGATGGGGGTCCAAGCTGTGAAGGGGTGGGTGGAGGGGTGGCTGTTTTTTGGTGCCTCCAGGGCACCACAACAGGCCCAGAAGACCCTCCTCTGCCTTTAGCCTTTGGTGATGGTGCTTGGGGGAGGGGGCTTGGGGTCACAGACAGGAGGAAGAAAGGAAGGGGACACAGCTGCGGCCCTCATGAGCACAATCCGGACTGCAGAGCTGAGAGGCGGCGCTCGATGCACAGCTTACCTGTTAATGGGATGAAAATGTATTTATTTTTTAACCAAGAAACAGTGCACACATGCACACTCACAGAGGAACACAGTCAAACTGTGTTATAATGTATTGAGTTCAGTATCACCCAAGACTCTGCTACTAGTTTTTAAGCAGACAATTTTGCAATCTGATGATCTTTATCCATTTAATCAACTTCCAGAGAAATTTGGCTCAAGTACCTTTAATAGCATTACTTATTCTTATCACAATTAATATTCTGCAAATTCATCGTGACCCGATAGAACATCAGCAATCTTATGAAAAGGGTAAGTGTTTCGACGGGCCACTGCACTTGAGGAGAAGCTGCAGCACAGAGCCACCACGCGCGTGTACGCACACTCACTGCAGCACAGAGTCACCACGCGAGTGTACGCACACTCACTGCAGCACAGAGTCACCACGCGCGTGTACGCACACTCACTGCAGCACAGAGTCACCACGCGCGTGTACGCACACTCACTGCAGCACAGAGCCACCACGCGCGTGTACAGAC